CCTACTATTTCAACAGCTGTCAGCTTTCCCTCACACTGTGGGAACTTATTATTAACCACTGAAGGCTGCTGAAGAACACTGATATTTATAGGCTAGCAGCAAAGCTTCCATGAACAACTGCCATGCTGGAAAAAAAATCAACCAACTTTACAAGGAGTTGAGTTGAAAATTGTACCACAGAACCTCTACCTGTATAATCAAGAGTTTGCCCCAAAGACACTGTGTCTCTTCATAATCAGCGAAAAGCCATCAGTAGATTTTTTATTTGTGCTTATTTGTCCCCTGGAAGCCATCAGACTGCAATCTGGGCTCTATAAAGTATCCCCTATCGGGCACATTTGTGTGTAACAGTGGGGTCAAGATACACTCTTAACAGTGGCAGCTAACTTAGGTTAAAAATAATCCATAATTACAGGTACTTATGTTATGGCATGGTGTCGATCAGATGTGACATGACTCTGCAAAGGTCTGCTGTGCAACCCTCCTTTCCCTGCTGTAAGTGGCACTTACAGCTCCTCTAATTACATCAGAGGTTAGACAAGCATTTGTAGCAGCATGGCATTGTAAAGCGGCAATCAACTATTTAAAAGCAAGAAGGGCTTTAAATACTTTAAGTAAAAGTACTCATTGATACACTAATCGGATTGCAGTGAAGGTGGAGCAGATTTTTAGTAAAACTGACATCTGCTTTCTGATACAGCTCTGAAAATAAGTGCAGAGGGTTACAGGTGATGCAAGTAAAACTAACTATTAGGCTACACTGAAACGTAAAGTTCTTTAAGACGAGTGCAGTGTGCCCACTCTCAATCTGAGTGGGAACATTAAAACACTTTTAACTGTTAGGCAAAGCTCTCCATCCACATCAGAGCAGCAGAGTGAACTGTCAGTGGAAGATTCGACCTGAACATATAAAGCACTGTTTACAGATAAACTGCAGGATACACTGACCTGCTCCACGGGGTCACTCGGATTGTGACATTGATCTTAGACACTTCCAAACAGGACCACCGTTGAAATCTTACTATAACTGTAATCACACTCATTTAGATAGTACACAGATAAAGTCTGCTACAGTGGCAGAGAGGACTTGGTTGTTTCAGTGGCGCACATGTGAGGCTTACTACAGCAGCCGTAGCCTTACTGAGCGTGTGCGCACGCATGCCTAGGATGACTGCGAGCGTGGAGCCATTCGTATGTGTAACTAACCAGCATTCCCAAACCGCCCCGAGGCACGCTGTGCCACAGTTCCCATCAGATTCACTAGAGTACAGCACACAAATCCCCTTCTTGCCCCACTACCCTCTAACATGCTACCGTGTGCGCTGTTTAAGGCGATTAAAGAGGGCTCTTTACCTGGCCAGATCTAAGAAGGAGTCGGTGGTCTCCTTGTTGCTGCTGACGCTCTCCAGTCCCAGGTTGTTGGTGTTCAGGGCTCCCGCGCCCACTCCGGGTTTGATGATGAAAGCCAGGGCTACCCCGATCCCCGAGGCGATCAGCGTGGTCACCAGAAAGTAGGCGACTGCGATGCCCCCCAGCTTGCCCAGGGAGCGAGTGTCCAGGCTGGCGGCCCCCGATACGAGACTGCAGACGACGAGGGGCAAAATGATCATCTTCAGCATCCGGAGGAGCATCTCACCGGGGAAGGCGAAGTAGGTCATCTGCGCTTTGGTCAGGTTCATGCTGCGGACCATCATCCCGAGCCCGACGCCCACCAGCACGCCCGACACCGTCAAGATCACCAGCAGGTTCTTTCTCAGAAACTCCATCAGCTTTTCTCCGAGGCTCTTCTGCGAGCCCTTCTCCAGGATCTGGTCTGTGGATGCTGAGCCGGGCATGGCGTGTCCGTTTATCTCGCTCTTTTTCTCCATTTTTAATTTTTTCTATTATCTCCGATGCGGCGTGGAAAGCCCAGTCCGGTTTCAGACAGCGTGGGTAGGACACACGTTTCTGTGAAGGCTGGTCCGGCGTTCAACTCTGAGCGCAGAAGCGGTAGGGCGAGCCAATGGAGAGTGAGCGACGACACAAAAAGCCAAGTGGAACATGCGCACAAAAGGGGGTACTTTATACCAAAAGCAAATGATGCAAGAGCGTGGGATATTGCCAGGGTCCAGTACTGAATAAATAACTGAGGTTTTTATGATTGAAACAGCAGACAAAAAGCCATTCCACCGGAGTGCGCGCTCTGCTGCTTTTCTTGTCTTCTTCCTAATAATGCAAACACATGAAAGCACCCTTTCACATCACTCATTTTCTGCACTCTTTGGAAAGCCCGCCCGAATCTTGGGCTTAGGACGAGAGCATCCTATTTCATGTCTGCTTTTAGTTATTCACTATAAATATTTACGCCCATAGGTATTTTAGTGAAATAGCTGTCTTCTCTTCATTTTCACACGGATCACACCAACATTTGTTTCTCTAACGGGCAGAAATAGTCAGTGCAGTGGGCCGTGTCTTTCTCAGCCTTTTTGGCATGGTAATGAGATTAATCGTGATCTGTCACAAACCCGTGCTGCTGCATGCTGATAATAAAACAACTGTTACTGTTTGCAATATTATGGATATTTTAGGAGCTTTATTAAACTTGTTTTTATGTTAAAGTATCGTTTTTACTCATAAATCCTTTCTGCATGCAATTTAAAATTTTATTTTAATCTTTCATTATAATTATTTTTATTTACAAGCCTTTAATAGTCAGTGGAATACAAGATCTGCTCTTGAAGCAAGCGACCAATCAGGGTGCAAGAATGAGAATAGTGGATGGAGAGCAGAGGCCTGTCAGCACCATGGTCAGCGCTATGCGGCTCCTAGAGGGCGCTATTCACCAGCTCCTTTCACCTTTTCTTTTCTTAAAGCGTCACATTTAGACGGAACAGCAGTGACAGGGAAAAAGATTTCCATCATTTTAAAGGTTCAACTGTCTCTTCTGTTGGAAGATAAGAACTGTTAGGTTTGTTGCACTGCTGGTGTTTGACCACAAGGTGATCCCATTGGAGAGCAGTTGGTTTAGTAAAGACGCAGCTGCCCAAAGGTAAGCCATGAAAGTACGAATAAAGGGAGCGGCCTTTCTGCTGGAAAGGTTTTCATATTCATTTTCCTTAAACAGTTTATTGGCTTTTGTGTCTGATAAAGATGTTTATCTTTATTATTCTTGATGTTTGAGTAGCAATTGTAAGTATAAAAAACGTGTTAAAATTTCATTTGACCTTCTTTTTATTATAAAATATATTTTTAAGCATGGTTTGTAATATCTTGGATCCACATATGAATCATTTGAAAGATTGTATCATATATGTAAAATCAGATAATGTCAGACATTGTTAGGCGCTCAATCAATTTTTGACCTTTATCGATGATGTTTGCATGACTGTAATGTCTGATTAGCTTGTTTCAATGGGAATTGCTTACGTTGAATAGCGCTGTTTTCACTCCTTTATAATGACTAAGCTGACAGCCTGTTGCTGTTTCAGATGGTGCAACAGCTTTCACACATTTTCTATGACTGTGAAAAAAATCTAAGTGAAATATAATGTTTTAGGAAAGCATGACAATAAAATCAGCGGAGCCTTCAGCTAATACATTCAAAGGAGAGAGAGGCAATATTCAGACGACACACGCAGAGGCAGTTCTCTGTTTCGCTGCCTCTGTCCTCACTGACCCCAGTGCTGCTGTTGCTAAGTTGAGTTAAACTTTGCATGTCTCCACCAATAGAGACAGACTGTCCCCCTTCCCCTCACAGCTGTGTGGCCTGAATGCTGGAAATAACCACCGGCTTGTGGATCTGGAGTCATGGCTGTTTAACAGTGGCTAACATTGGCGCCCTGCCATTGTAAACCGCAGGGGGGGGGGAAGAAAACAGGGAAAGACACATACTTAGCTTCCTCTTGGAGATTGCTGAGCTGTCACCCAAGGACAAGCAAGAAAGAGCTGGTCCTTTTGGGAGGCACCGAGGCCTAAACCTGACCAAAAGCAGTAAAGGTTTACTATTTTAGTCATTATTATTATTATACTTATCCATAACCTTTATGGTCATTGTAAGGCGGTGTTGTGCTTCTGGATGAGGCAACTACCTCTTGTAGTGTTTAGTGTACCCAGATTGTTCAGATCTTCAACAATTTTAATAGCAAGGATACTCAACAGCCTCAAGAGACCTGGTTATTGAAGAAATTCAAGAAAACGAGTGGAAGTCGTCAATTCTGGAACTCTTTCTGGTCAAGCGGTCATGGCAGACCGCTGCCTCTCCCTGAGCCTGGTTCTGCCTGAGGTTTCTTCCTGTTAAACGGGGTTTTCTCCTTCCCACTGTTGTCAAGTTCTTGCTCATAGGGGTCATCTGATTGTTGATATTTTTCCTCAGTGTTATTGTAGGGTATTTACCTTACAATATAAAGTGCCTTGAGGTGACAGTGATTTGGCGCCATATAAATACATTTGATTTGCAATTTAATTAATTTTTTAAAGTTTGTTTCCAGAGCTTTCGGTTACACCTCATGGCCATCTTCTTCACAGGCACTGTGCATAACCCTCTCATCATGTTAGTCTTATTACACACACAAGTTGAACTTGTGGTAAAATTTCCCTCATCTTTTTTAACTAAGCCAAGAACCAGTTTATTAGTTGTATTCCACTTCTGCTTGTCATCACTCCACCTTTGACAGTGACTCATGTTCAATCATGTACACGTCAAAAAAACAAAGACAAGGAGACACAACAGACACCTGCTCTTTTTACAGTTTATTGTATATGTATATTTATATATATTTATATATATATATACATACATACATACATATATATATAAATATAAAACTACAAAAGTAAGACTGTTTCAAATTCATAGACAGCTGTACTTTTATTTCATTTACTATGTATACATATATATGTATATATATACATACATA